TTTGTTTCAGAACTAGGCTTTGTGCTCTTCTCATGTTTGCCATACCACCTGTGTGACTTGCACATGCTTCTCCTCAGGTCTGTCGCCACTAGCAGTGTCTAACAATGTATGCCAGTGGCCGTGAGAGCATGTGGGGCCCTGGAAGGCATAGTCCTCCTGCTGGCCGGCAGGCTAGCTTTGTGCTAACCAAAGAGACCTCCTTTCCTTTGGCACTGGGGCACGACAGCAGGGCCCCTGTTGCAGGAGCAAATTGAGGAGTCCAGCTTCCAAAAGGTGAGGCTTCTCTGCCAAGTGATATAGGTCAGGAGTTAGTTCTAGGCCAGAAAAGCCCAGGAATATTCCATTTTCCTTTCTCTGGTCAACAGGCACAGTGAGTGAAGGACTGTTTGAAGCCAGGTGATGTCTAGGCTTTCTCATTATTAGATGTTAATGGCATTGTTTTTGTCATGTAGCTGTTTCCAGAAATAAACCCAGAGTATTTGCCACTGTGAAAAGTCACTCATGCTGGCCACATGGACTCTGGTTACTGTCTGTTGAAATTCTGATGCTTCCATGAAATTCTCAGAGTGTTTAATTCTACTCAGTAGTACCATTACAGTTTTCCGTAAGAGAAACTATTACTTATTTATCTTAGTCTTCCTGACCTGTCAATATAATAAATATTGGAACCAAGACATGGTGAATGTTAAGTGTTGTGCTGGTTTCTGTTCTTTTAAATCTGTGGGTGAGTAACTGGATCTGCTCCTTCTCTGCCCTCCTCCCTCCTTGATGGGGAGTGACTGGCATTAAATGGTCTCTGGGCTGTCAACCTTTGTTTTGTGGACTATTACCAGATAGGACAAGGACAGCTGGCCATTAGTCCCATTCCTCATTTTCTTCCAGACAATCCCTGCCGCACAGAACCAAATATAAATCCCTCAGAGCAACTGTTTGGCGGTGTTAAGATGGAACTCTGATCCAAAGTCTGAATTGTATACCTCAACTGTCCATCTCTCTGAATGTACAGATGCCCAACATATACCTGGTATTAACCTGAGCCTTTAATGCCTTCACTTCTGCCCCAGAACTACTCAGAGAAGGATGCATTTTATTGTGGAAATGTGTCTTGCTACTGCAAATATATATTCCAAATATCAGCAAAGAATGGGAAAATAGTTGGGGAGGCAGGAAGAATCATTTTAGCATAAATGTGAAGATTCCATTAGGTCTGGAAAAAACATGGCTTCCTTGCTCCTTGCCTGTGCACATATGTTATGTTACACCTTCAGGCTAAAAATAAAAATTGACTACTCTGCTATAAATGTAAATCTTTAAAGAAACAGCAGCTGCATCAAATGTTAGATTCATCCATATAAATGGTGGACACTGCTTCTTTGAACGCATGTAAGAGGATGGTTCCTTTAAACCATCACCTGTGATACAGGCAGCCTGATTTCGCTGCTTTAATTGCACATCACAGGTGGGTTTCTAATCTGTGAAGAGCCATCTGGTGTTGGTATCACATTTCTTTGAGGAGATAATCTGTTTCTCATCTTCAGTAGAAGGGTGACAGATCCCTTGGGTTTACCTTCTGAATATGGGTAAAGGTGCTCCCCAACAATGCTATGAAACTCAAGACAATTTATAAAGTGCCATGAGAACATATCAGAGGAAGGAAAGGAGCTGGCCATGCATGGAGAGGGGGCCCGAAAGATGCACTGTATATAGTTAGTAGAACTGCAAGGTCATTAAACAAATTCATTAAGAAGTTCTGTTTTCTGTGCCCAAAGTCTATGTTTTGATACTTTAATAAAGAAAAAAAAACAAATATGCATTTACCAGTAAGTTGTTTAGCTCATCCTTTTTCATATTTAGAAAAGAGGAGCAGAGATCATTGAGGTTTGAGAGAACAAACTCAGATGGGATTGCCAGTTTGACAAAGTCTGCCTTGAGCTGCCTTCTGCTCTGTGTGCTGACATCACACTTGGAGGGCATCACACTTGGAGGGCACTCTTCCCCACCTCCCGCCTTCCTCCTGTCCTCTTGCCGTACCCTGAGATCTAGTAGATACTTGTTCCAGACTAAAGAGTTAGGATGCTGGTTCTAGGCAGGGATTCTGGAATTAAATCCTTTCACTTTCAAGAATTAAAATGCCACGTATTTCCCATCTGTATTCTTAATTTCTCCCCATGGACACTGAGCCAAGCCAGTAGAAAGGCTTGCCCACTCTTCCTGATTCCCTATCCTCTGGGACTCAGGTATAGATCTGCCATTAAGCATTTTCCTGTACCCAGAGTGCTTGGTTCCAAATTTTCCAGATCTCATACCATAAATCGCTCTCAGAAGGAGTAAACCACTGAGGACTAATGTGAATAGCAGCTGCCATTTACTGAGCAGGACGGCATGCTAAACTCTTCCTGTGCATTATTCCATTTAATCCTCATCACCATCATTGTCCCCGTTTACAGAAAGGGCAGTGGAACGCCCAGCCACTTGCTGAAGGTCATACAGTTAACCTTTTGAAAGCTGAAGCCTGCGTCTTTAAGCATAATGCTTCTGAACACGAATATGTATTTGTTATGTGTGTGTTTGTGATGAAACTATAAAATTTCACACTGTAGCCACTTTAATATGTACCACTGAGTGACATTAAGCATATAATACTAAATAACCACCACCATGTTATTCCAGACCATTTCAATATCTCATAGGAAATCTTGGGCCCAGTGAAGCAGTCACTCCTCAACCTCTTATTAGTCCTTGACAGCCAATAATAACTCATATAAATAGACTCACACCATATGTAGTCTTTCAGTATCTAGCTTCTTTGACTTTGCATAGTTTTAGCAAGGTTCACCCATCTGGTAGCTAGTGTCAGCACTTTGTTCCTTTTTATGGCTGAATACTACCCTATTGTCAGGATGCATTTTGTTCATCTGTGTGTTGATGAGCAGATACATTTTAGAGAGTAGCTTCCAACAATACTTCCCATCATAGTTCCTGGCACATCACAGAGAGGGAAAGTCAGGGACAGGGAGTCCTCAGAACTCCCCATTGACAGAGATCACTTGTTCTGTGGCTGGCTGTATAGGAATGGTGACAAGCAAGGAGACACAATGCCATGTGCTCCCCATAGGTATATACAACTACCAAACTACCCAGGCCTGGGAGGAGAGAAGTTAGTGCAGCAGGGTTTTGACAGGCTCCTGGAATGGGAAACTTACACATCTACTCATGCACCCTGCACCTGCACCTGGCATTTCACTGGGCAGGGGAGTGGAAAGATGAGGAGGAAAGAGAGAGAGGGACCTGCAGAGAATAATGGGGTTCCCTTGCATGAGCTGTTTTTAAAAGCTCAGTGATGGGGAGGTCCCTAGCATATTCTAATCCCCATGTCAACCCGGCCACTGTCAGAAGGAACTGTCCCATGTTCCTTATAACATTTTAAAATCTGGACATAGCTTCTTTATTTTACCTGAGCTTTTTGAAGATCCCTTTATACACATACATACATATACACAGTCTATTACAGAACTTCCCATAATGCACGAAATTGGTGTTTTTGAAGACAATGAAGCCAGCCCAATTTTAAAAGCATGGCCAGCCCAACCCTTCTTTGTGATGCAAAGTCCTGCAGGTTCAGAAGAAAAACTTAGTGTCAGCCAGAACTGGTTTCCAATAATGCCTCCAATTATAGTTTGAACAGGATCTGACTCCCTAGCCCATACAGACATTTAAACCTCAAAGTCATATGTTAATGGTTAATGGTTAATGGGCTGATGTTCAATGGTTGATAAATTAAAGGTGGATGCTTGATCTGATATGGTATCTGTATGGTAGGCACAATGACAAGTCTTTGGATCACTGGGAATTTGCCCTCAACAGCAGTTCCCAAGACAGGGTTAGTGTGTGGGCCTGGGTCCAATCCAGCTGTTCTCAGCTTCCTGCCTCACCAGGTGACCATCTCCTCCACACATGTGCTGCCCATCAGACACCACATCAATGGAGGTACCTGACCTTGCACTGTGGGTCTCCCAAACCATGAGTGGAAATAAACGTTTTCCTTCTAAGTTTGCTCCTCTTTGTTCTTTTAGTTGTAATAACAACCTAATACACTTCTATCACCTGTTAGTTCTGCAATCACAGGCAAACCACATAGCCTCAGACTCCTTCCCTATAAGACAAGGACAGTGACGATAGAACCAAACACAGAGGGGTCTTACAGCGCTATATGAAAAGCCTAGCACAGCAACCAGGAGAAGCAATCACTGATGTCCACACTGAAAGCCAAGGTTCTAAAGAAAGATATCCATCAGCAGCTTTCACTGAGAATTTAGGGAATGATGGGCTAAGTGCCAAGGCCACCAACTCCAGGTGATTCAATAAAATTAAAATCAAACTCAAATGGTTCAAATTTAGCCCATTATCCTACAGTCTTACTGTTTAACCTTTTAGATTTACAAGAGAAGGAGAAAGAGGTCTCACACTAAACATTCCTGTTTTGGAGGAAAAAAAAATCTATTTTGGCACTCACCAGAGTCCCTCACACAGTGGCCCTGTCCTCTCTGGGAGGAGCTGTGGGGGTGGGGGTGGGAATGAGAACAAAGGGGTATGTGACAGTGCCAGGTCACAAAGGGCAGTGGAGGATAAATATGGCTGAGCAGAAAGGGCTGCAGTTTGCAGACTCTCAGGGAGATAAAAATCAGAGGTGGAGGGGAAGAGGGTCAGTCCCGGAAGAAAACCTCTCTGGAGCCCATGCTGCATCTCTACCTCTTTGGAGAGATTCCGTTTGGGATCCAGGCACCTGACAGCCTCCCCTCATCAATCACCTGCACTCCCACCCCCCAGCTCCAGCCTCCTGGAGGCTCTGAGGTGCAGGGGAGCCTGTGGGTGCAGCAGGGTTGAGCCACCTGCTACGGTGCCACCCTCGAGATCCAAGAGCACCGCTGCTCCCTCATCTGCCAACGAGGCCAAGAAAGCCCCAGCCACGTGCCTCACCGGTGCTGCCGCCGTGACAAAAGATGACTGCGAGCAACGAGTCCTTGCTCCCATATTACACGGCCCAGAGCGGCTCTAGAGTGGGCATGTTCAATACCGTCATGGGGAAGCTGCAGCGACAACTGTACAAGGGAGAGTATGACATATTCAAGTATGCACCCATATTCGAGAGTGATTTTATCCAGATTACCAAGAGGGGAGAAGTCATCGACGTGCACAATCGCGTCCGCATGGTGACCGTGGGCATTGCGTGCACCAGCCCCCTCCTCCCACTGCCTGACGTCATGCTGCTGGCCCGGCCGGCCACTGGCTGTGAGGAATTTCCTGGACGTGGCCAAGCCACCAAGAGGAAAAAACGCAAGGGTTCCAAGACCTTGGAGCTCACCAGGCTCCTGCCCTTGAAGTTCGTTAGGATCTCTGTTCATGACCGTGAGAAGCAGCAGCTGCGCCTGAAATTTGCTACTGGCCGTTCTTGTTACCTACAGTTGTGTCCCCCTCTTGAAGCTCGGGACGACCTCTTTACTTATTGGGAAAAGCTGATTTACCTGCTGCGACCTCCCATGGACAGCAACAGTAGCACCTACGCCATTCCAGCCGAGGACATGATATGCATGCCTGTGTTTGAGGAAAATGACAGGACCAGCCTGGCAGCTGCAGAGTTCCAAGGAAAAGGGGATCAGGACCAGGTTAGCATTCGGAGCCTCCACATGGTCTCTGAAGTGTCTGGGACTTCCTCTGCTGCTTATGCTGGTGGGGAGGGACTCCAAAATGAGTCCTACAAACCTGCTATGGTGGTGGGGGTATCCACCCCCAAAACAAGATCTCCAAAGCTTGGCAAAGACTCAGTCACAGGGACCACAGAGGCAGCAGAAGCAGGGGCGGTAGCCGGGACACCAACAGGCACTATGAACGTGGCAGCCACCAAGTCTGCAGGCCCTGGGCAGGTGAACAGAGCCGTAGCAGGAGGTACAGGAGGAAACCAAGACAACATCAACATCACAGGCACAGCCAATATATCCCCCAAGAGCTTTCAGGTGGCCCTGGCAGGTGCTATCAGCCAGTCCTCAGAGTACATTTCCAGTACGTCCAGCAGCCTCTCCCCAGGAGGCAGTTCCAGTGTGACCACTGCAGCGGGGAACCCTACCAACAAGACTGCTGGGGAAACGACGAGTGATCCCGCAGAAGGTGAAACAGTCCTGGGTGACAGCCCTGAGGGTAGGCCCGCACGAGCCTCCCGCTCTGGGGCTGAAGCCCGCAAGCAAAGGAGAGAAAGACGGGGGAAGAGGGGGAAGGACAGAGTTCGCAGGAAGAGCTCCCGTCACCGCAGGGTGGGAGAAGGTCGTAACAAGAAGGCGGGGGACAAGATAGGCCGAAAAGCATCTCGCCACAGAGCCTCTAGAGATGACAAAAAGGAAAAAAGCCGAGGAAGCCCTGGCAGACGTAGCCCCTCACACAAAGGCATCAGCCACACACCCATCACGGAGTCCAGGACCTCGCACAAGTCCGGGAGGAGCCTATCCACCGCGAGCTCAGGCTCTGCGAGCAAGCGGCTCCACAGGATCAGCTCCTTCCTGAGGAACGTCAGAGCCAACCTCAGCACTAAAGGGCTGGCCTCGCCGCAGGGGCAAGATGTGGACATCACAGCCAAGACAGTGGAGAGGACCAACATGGAGGCCATCGTAGAGGCTGGAGAAAGTGGCCAAGGACTGGAAATTGTGGGCTCTGTGACATCTGAGATCATGGAGACAGTGACATTTGAAGCCCGTTAAGTTGAACCTAGATCCGGAAACTGCAGAGCAGGACCAGGCCTCAGGGGGCTACCCCAAGAGTGCCTATCCCAGCTTCCTTTCCTGCAGTTCAAATAAAGAATGATACAATCAGTGAGTAGCTTGCTGCCTTCTGCCAGAAAGCCCGCAGCCCATTCATGACCTCACAGTGGAGTCTGTGGTGTCAGTGGTGCTGACTTCTTAACCCTGATCTGGTTGGGGTGGGGGCTGGGACTCATTCCATGCTGGACAGAACTACTCTGACTGTGTATGCCCCGGCACTGGCTGCCCAGGCATGCAGCTGATGGTTCCAGAAACTCCTCCTCCATCACCCTACCCTTTGAGCCTTTTCTTTCCCTCTAAAGGTCGCTTCACAAACCAAGAACAGGACTGAATCTCCTCAGACTTTTAGAGGAGAAACAGTGGAACAGGAGCACACATCCATGTAGACTTTGTGATTCCTCTCCTGGATATTTCTCTCTCTCTCTCTCTCTCTCTCTCTCTCTCTCTCTCTCTCTCTCTCTCTCACACACACACACACACACACACACACACACGAAGAGCCAGCTAAGAGAAGGTTGTTAGCAAGTAAACAATGGAAAAACACAGGAAAGAGCCCAGATTAGATCCCATAGTGACAAGTGATTGGCAGCTCTACACATCAGCATAGATAACTTGTAGCAATTTAAAAAAAAATTCACAGAACAGGATGTAACTCTACTTACAGAGCAGTTCAAAAACAAGATCAAATACTATGCTGTATGCAGGTTGGATAAAACCATAAACAAAACTGAGAATTTTAGTGTTTTTCTGACAAGCAAAAAGAGAATGAGGTGGGCACAAGACTTGACTAGCCTGGGAATTGTTTAAGTGGGTACAGGGGTATTTGCTTATTGCCACTTTATACATTTTTACATCTTGGAAATTGACAGCCATGGCAGTAACAATGAAGTTGCTGTACTGGACCCATCTTCACTAAATTTCATTCCTTTATGTTTTCACTCTTATGCATGTACAAAAAATGGCTTACTATAAAAGTATTAAATGACATTTGAAAGAAGCCTTAGCTGGTGACTAGGAAAAGATGACACTGAGGACCAAGATGGTGACTTGCCCTGGTCATAAGCTGGGATCTCTGAAGAACAGCAAACCACCAGCCCTATCTGAGTTATGAGGAAGGTCAAGTGACCAAGTCTAAGGAGACTGGCTACTACAAGAACCCAAGACTTAGCAAAACTCTCCAAAGATGAGCATCAAATGGACTGGGTTGAGAGGGCGTGGTGGGGGCTGGGAGGACTCTTGTAAGCTGGTTTTTCAATTTCAGTGAGCTCTCACCCCTTAAGCAAGTCTTATCTGAAGAACATCCAGACCACCCCCAGCCTGTGTCTGGCTCCCAGGCTTCTATGCCCAGCCTCTGCAGTGGTCATACCACAGCTATAAACAGACCCCTGCTTGGAATTCCAGGCTTGGCTCCCCAGCAGGGACTCCTGCCTGCACTGCATCCCTCTGCAGTCCAGATCTTTCCCAGCTGCTAACTCATGAAAGCCAGGCTTAAGACAGCTCCTCCTCCACATCAAGCCTTCAAACAAATCCCTTAAACCTCCCATGAGGAAGATTACTGGAAAGTAGATACACGGTGGGCATGGCGTAGGGGCCCAAAACCTATCTTGGGCAAGGTCCCTTTTCCCAGGATGATCTGTTGCTGGAGTGAGTCAAGTTATTCTTAGGAATGGAGGGAGCATGCTAAAGATTAGATACAAATTGGCTCTGTGAGGAAACCAGCCTCAGAATCATTAACCCACAGCTCCAGAGGCATCTGGGTGGGGGTAGAGGCAGTGGAGGTCCAGGGAGACAAATTAATGGTTTACTTCTGACTAGCTTCTTCTAGCTTTTCCATCTATTCAAGATGGGAAAATTATAAAATGATCACATTCCTTTTATTTTATAATTTCCACAGGCAAATGTAGGTAAACACCAGTCGAAGATGAAAATGCAATCAAAAGATTTGCATAACATGGCTGTTTCAACATACATGCTGAAATGGCATCACCAGCAAAGGGTAGTCCAGGACACTGCTCAAGGTGGGAGGTGTGGGTGTGTCACAGTCCCTAATGACAGACACACTACAACCTGTTTTTGGAAAACAGGGTCTTGGGGTGAAGGAAGGTGTTGAGGGTCAGGCAGGGATTCTGAGACAAACTGGAAGTTTTGGAGGAAGACAGGTAAAAGAATGAGGCACAGGGGAGGGTGCAAGAGGTGCCAAGGGAAGGCTGGGGCAGAGCATGAGGTTCTGGAACAGAATGCCCTGCTGTGGTGGGTGACTGCTTTCATCTTGTTGGTGGAAAAGCAAAGGCAGAGGAGGGACATGCAGCTGGAGGAGCAGATAGCTACATTTCCAGGGCTCTGGGCACCATGTGAATGTCGTGACCTCTGAGTAAGATCTGAGATCTCTCCAGTCTCATACTGGAGAACTGAAGCAGGGGACTGTTGGGGTCTGTCAGAGACACAGGATCCTCTGCAACTGTACCAATCCACACCACAGATAGGGTCCCCAGAACCTAGGCTGAGACAAAGGGCAGCAGTTTCAGGAGAGGTGAAAGAGAGGAAAGATGGGGATCTCACAGCTGAGGTCTGGTACTCATGCAGAGGTGAAATGAACAGAAGTGGGAGCACCTTCTTCCTACTTGACTGTTGGTCTATAAATTGGATGGGAATAAGAGAGGCTCATGCGAAAGCAGAAGAAAGCTATAAACAACTTCTATTTGGCCACAGGGTAGAACACAGGCTAAGGCAGCCAAAAGGGCTGTGGGGCTTCAGCATGGGAGATCTGTGAGAGAAGACACCCCTTGAGTGTTTTCTTGTTCATCTGCCTGGGCCGCAGCTGGAAATTCTCCTACTGGACCCTTCTGCCTTGGGCATAGGAGTTGCCCAGCAGAGCCCCTTGTGGCCACATGTGTAACTGCAGGTGGCCCTTGAGAGAGCTCCTCCCTGGGATTGAAAAACAGTGGCCCTTTCTCTGTCACAACATAATGAGCCTAATGCTGATTCACAGGTAACCAGCCCAGTCTCTTAAAGGGCAGCCGCCTCTGTATCAAGTGGCAGCCAGAGGTATGAGCAGGTTAAGAGAATGTGCTGCCTTCCTAGCACTGGTCCCTTGGCAGTGGGGCTGCAGGCTGTGGAAGGGCCACAAGACAGGTCCCTACAGGGAACACTAGTCCAAGAGAACAATGCAAAAACAAGAACAAGGATAGGGGTGGATTTAGGCAGCATCAGGATCCTTCTGCAGTTGGGGAACCTACTGAGAAACGGCTTTCTCATCTACAATGACCAAATGAGAAAATCAGGGATCATGTAGGTGAACATGGGTGTACACACACACACACACCAGTAGCAGCAGGAACAGCAGTAGGAGATATGATGGTAGCTCCAGGCATCGTATGGGAGGAAGCTTAGTCGAAGGAAGATCTGAGCAGAGGCAGGCTGAGCACTCTTGGCAGAGGCAACAGCAAGATAAGGAAAAGGGCCAGGGAAATGTGGGTGTGTCCATAGACAACAGACACGTGTGTTAGCTCAGGGGATTGAAGGGGTGTGAGTATTGGGGAGGATGAGATGTGGTGGAAAAATAAGGCTAGAAGGCTAGAAAAGGCCACCTTGTAGAGGCGACAACCAGACTGCCGCGTCTCTCCCTTAAAACCTGTGATCCAGGCTAAGAGGGGTATCCACCTCATCGGGAGATGACAAACAAAGGAACCCCAGCCTCTCTCCCTCTGGCAGTTCAAGAAACCGGAGATGTGTTGCGCAGGCCTCTGCTGGGAATCTCTCCAGGTGTGTGTGGTACTGTTCCCACCCCCCTTAACTGGGGAGTCGGGAGGAGGGATAAGGCCAGCTGGCATTGGCTGTCTATAGCTAGCATTGCTGGGAGGCATCTTTTCTATTTGTGAAAATTTTTTCCTAGTATTTCCAGTTTTCTTGTTTCTATTTATTTACTTAGAGGCAGAGAGATAAGAGAACTCCCACGTATGGGTTTATTTCCCAAATGCTTACAACAGCCAAGGCTGAGCCATGACAAAGCCAGAAGCCAGGAACTTAATCTGAGTCTCCTACATAGGTGGCAGGACTCCAGTTACTCAAGCTGTCACCTGCTGCCTCCCTGGCTGTACATTTGCAAGAAGCCAGAATCACACGCAGAGATGGGACTTGATCCCGGGTGCTCCACTGTAGGATGCAGATGTCTTAACCGCTAGGGCAACTACACACCCAGGGTGGCATCTTTCTAGATATGCATTCATGTGCACGTGGCAGTGCATGTAAACTGTTAGGGCAAGGACAAGGAGCAGCTGGGCAGCTCCTTCTAGCTTCAATTGACACCAACAATGTCACTGATGTGTCAGAGCTCCAGAACCTGCTATTTTGTAGCTTACACAGGTTCAAGCAGACATCAGAAAAATATAGGTAAATACAGCAGGCTTTTCATAGCAGTTTGTAAAGTTAAATTTGTCTTCATTTCATTTTGACATTTATTTCTTTCATTTAAGCTATTCTGTGGAATTCTGTGACTTTTCTTCCTTTTTCATAAGATAATATACTGTAAAAATTATGATGTAGAATATGCTAGCTCTGTTGTAAAGTCCTTAAAGAGAACAATTTAAAGCAAGCTTCTAAATTAGTTTTGAAATTTCACATATTCTTGAAATTTTGCAGTCTTTTAAACACATTTGAAAGGGCTTTAAAGCTATGTGATGAAAGAAATTTTTTGGTTAGCTTCTTTTCCCATCCTGTTTCAGTGCCTTTCTTTGCTAACTCTCAAACTTCATGACTTAAAATGAGTGTTTTCTTAAATCTCCTAAGTCCTACATCAGCAATTTGGGAAGGGCTCGGTGGGGTAAGTAGAGTGATTCCTGAGGAACAAAGTGAGGTCCATAAATAGTTCTCAGCTGGAGCATGGGCTGGTCTGCAGGGTTCAAGATAGCTTCACTTACAACTGGCACCTTGAGGGAAATGCTCAGATGATACTATCCACAGAAATGCTTCTCTCTCACACAGCTTCTCCAACACGGTGCTCTCAGGTCATCCGATGAGCACCCCTTCTAACAAGTGTTCCAGGGCAACAGC